ACTCAGTTACAGTAATAATTGCAAAATAATGACCTTCCAATTCCTTTATTTCCATCTTTTCTGCCTCCTCCTTTTGTTTAGCTTTGTTTTGCTTTTACCAGGTGGATTTGATTGAGAGGAGATCCCATTTCTAACTGGGGTAATAAAGGAAATCTCAGAAGGAGATGGTGTTTGGAGATGTGGAAGGAGATTGCAAAGCTGCATTTGGTGCCTTATATTAAGAAAGAACTACTCCCAGAAAATCCAAGCAGGGAGCCCTGGCTGGACACTCCTTTCTCCAGTTTCCCACAGGCTTGTGTAGAAAACCTGTGAGCAGAGACATGGAAGTAGCAGTGTGCACACAAGTGGAGCAGCAGGGGTAGGGCAGGCCCTGGCTCTCGCCCTGCTGCATAGACAGACCTTGTGATAAATCCCATCTGCAGACATTGTGGAGCTCATCTGGGCCAAGTACCCCCACATTCCTCAGACACACAACTGCAGGGCACATGTGCTTAATACAGCATCAGAGCATCCATGTTACTTAAAGGTTTGGGGAAATAGACATTTGTATATCAAAACTAGGAGGAGGAGGATAAAAATACAAATCATAGGGAAAATACAAAACACACAAAATATGACATCACACAAAAATTGGGGGCTTTGGGTAAGCCTTTGTGGGTTATCCTTCAAACCCTCAGGGACATGCAGCTTCTCTTTCTGCTGCAGAGACAACAGTGAGAGAAACATATGAGAAAAATTGTCCAAAGCAGGTGAAGCAATGAGTGCACTTCAAATATTAGACATCAGGGAGGAGGAGACACAGATAACAGGCCGACTTGGTTGTACAATAACGAATGAAAAATTGGCTTATTTGAAATCAATATGATCGTCCTGTGAGGATAACTACTGACAATTATCTGTAAACATTTGCTTCTTATGACACCCTTACTGGGGGACAGGCCTCTGCAGTGGCCTCTTTTGTCTCATCCTGGAGATGACGAGAATACTTCATGGACTGTGTTGGTAAACAGAAGATGGTTCTAACTCTTTTTTTTTCCAGGGCTTGGTTTTAAGGTTTTTATTTTAGGGTTCAATTCTGTATCTTGCAGAGAGAGAACACTAAAAAAAAAAAAAAAGAAACCAATCAAATAGATGAAGCATTCCAAAGTCTTATCAGGATTTGGGATCTGGCCCATCATTTTGTAAAATACAGAAAAGAAATTAAAGTTTTAAATAGACCAGAATGAAGTCACTATTTTTACAGGACTTTGAAGAATTGAAGCTCTGAGTGCTTACATTTATGTAAGCCAATAAACCCTGGAAGTGTACATTTTTTATGAAGTGGAAATTATGCTAATTTGAATTATTACAAAGTAGACTATTTTGGGTCCATCTGTCCATTTCAGTTCTGGGCTCCCTGAAATATTTAGTTTATTGCCTCTTTGGAACCAAAGTCTCAGCAGCTAAAATTTTAATGATGTCAGAAAGCACACTTGCATCTGGTGCTGGCTCCGCCCGCAGAGCGCGCTGGCGAACAGAACACATGCTCACGGAGGAGAGTGGTTCACGCCAAGAACTCAGGGCCTCTACGGCAGCAAGAACGGGTGATGAGCGTGCTCCCTGGCCCTTCCCACTGGAGAAGTGTGTCAAGGATTGCAGGACTGCAGGGTGACCGACCGAGTGCCAAGCTCCACCCTGCCCCTCCACAGGCCAATCCTTAAACCCAGTCTACACTGCATTCCTCCCGCCCTCTCTTTCCTACTACTTGTCAGTTTGTTGTTATGGGTTTACTTGTCTAAGGTACATTTCTTCAACTAGATGGAAGTTCATGACACTGTGCCACACATCGCTAAATACCCCAGATAAACATATTCTGGATGAATAAGCAAGTATATGAATACCTGAATACATGAGTGGATTCAAGCTACCCAAGCAGCAATCTTATTGGAGAGATCTCCTCCTTGCTTGGACATTGGTTACCTGGTAATCAGTCTACAGTCCACCTGGTCTTTTATTCAACCAAGTGGGCAGGCTCAGGACTCTGCTTCCTGTAAATTCAGTCGTTCATCCAGCCCCTATCATGTCCCAAGAACTATAGAAGAAGCTGGGATATGGAGACAAACTGGCTGCAAACAAATGTGTGAACACATCAGTCAAATCATAGTCCACCAACACTGTTTCCTTTCAGGAGCAAGCAGACTGAAGCTTTCACTCTTAAAGCACAGTAGGAAAAAAGAGAAAATTATAAACTTAGGAAGAAAAAAGAAAGAGTTAGCAACCTTGACTCACCCGTATCCAGGCCCAGCGGGGAGCAGTCTCTGGGATTTCACTCCCTTCAGCACCAAATTTCTCTCTTCTCCAAGCAGCAGCTGCTAATAGAGACCCCTACAGTTCTTACACACAGAGACCCTCAGCAACCAAATAGCAAATGGGTCTGATCTCCAGCACCAACACCTTTTATCTCTTAGCTATGGGTTAAGGAGCCTCTTCCAGGCTAAGCTAGAAAAGGCACTGCCAATCAATGTCTGTCAGAACTGCCGTATTTTTGTCAGTCCCATCCTAGGAGGTGGATATGACCACAGGGCTGATGAAGAGAAGACCAGAGAAGCATTTTCTGACCCTGCCTTGGCACAATATTGGACAGATTTACTTCAGTTTAATTAGATTGTTCAGTCTCTACCCTAGTGATGTTCACTTAGTGAATTCATGCCACACTTTCTGCAGCATGTTGTAGCTGAAGCATCCATGGGAAGGATGATTTTAGGATAGAGACATTACAAAAGGCCTTTGTTCTAGTTCTAGTTTATTATTATCTGGTGGAGTCACATTCCGCTAAGTCTTCTGAGTCGTGCAATAGAGCCTGAGACATTCCTGATTTCAGTGATGCTCAAGAAGATGCCCTGGGTTCCCCATGACATACAGCCCTTCCTGTCACTCTGTTACAATCATTATTTATTCATCTGCAAGTTCTGCAAATACCGTGATGATTCCTAATTCTTTTGTGTTTCATCAACCCCAAGAAACATGCTTCCTATATGGCAGGTTCTTATTAAATGTTAATTAAATAAATGAACTGAAAATCTTACACCAAGGAGATGGAAATGTTGGCTCAATCATAGCAGCGCCTGGATATTTGGATGATTGCCAACATCTCAAGTTTTTCTCATACTGCAAAGTAGAATAACTGAGGCAAGACGCCCTGAGTTAGAAAAAAAAGATAAATTCTGTTCAATGTAAGGCAGAAACACAATTATATTATAACTACTGCCTATTACACATTTTTATCAAAAATAGCACAAAATTAAGTTTAAATACATAAAAAACAATTATGGGGGATTCAACAACACCAACAACAAAAGAAACAAAGAACCCAATTAAAAAGTGGATAAGAACTTGAATGGACATTTTTCCAAAGAAGAAGATATACAAATGGCCAATAAGTGAGTGAAAAGATGGTTAATATCACTAATCATTAGTGAAATACAAATCAAAACCACAGTGAGATATTACTTCATACCCTAGTAGATGGCTATTATAAGGGGAAAAGAAACAGAAAATAATAAGTCTTGGTGAGGATGTGGAGAAATTGGAAACCCTGTGCACTGCTGGTGGGAGTGTAAACTGGTGCAGCCTTTGGGAAATAGTATGGCAGTTCCCCAAAATTAAACATGGAATTATCATATGATCCAGCAATTCTGCTCCTGAGTATACACCCCAAAAACTGAAAGCAGGGACTCACACGTACTTGTGTACCAATGTTCACAGCAACACTATTCACAAAGCCCAAAGGGTGGAAACAGCCCAAATGTCCATTCAGGGATGCATGGATAAACAAAATGTGCTACATACATGCAATGAAACATTTTTGCAGTGATACATTCCTGCAATGAAACATTTTTCAGCTTTAAGAAGGAAGGAAATTCTGACACCTGCTCCAACACGAAAAACCCTTGAAGACATTATGCCATGTGAAATCCACCAAACACCAAAAGTCACTATTATACAATTCTGCCTGTATGAGATACCTAGTGGCCAAATTCCTAGAGGCAAGAAGTGGAATGCCAGGAGCTGGGGGAAGAGGAAAGGGGTTTAATGGAGACAGAGTTTCAGTTTGGGAAAATGAAAATGTTCGGGAGATGGGGGTGCTGGTGATGGTTGCACAACATTGCGAATACCCTTAATGCCACAGAACTGTACCCTGAACATGGTGTCACTGTACTTAAGGCCAATGAAAAATTATTAACAGAGTAAATTTTATGTCGTGTGAATTTTACTGCAATAGAATAAATATTTTTAAAAAAAACATATGTACGTGGCCTTAGGATAATGCTATTTCACTTTTGTGGAATTTACCCTACACGTATCATCACAAACACATGAAATTACACATGTATAAAGTTGCTTTCTAAGAAATTGTTCCTAATACCAAAATAATGGATGCCATTTAAACGGCCATCGTGAGAGGACCAGCTGAAGAAATTATCATTCCAAGCATGCAATGGAAAACTTTGCAGCTGTAACAATGAATCAAGATGCTCTTCATACACTCACAGGAAGTTTTCCAAGATAAATTACTGAGTGAAAAAGAATGAGATGTAAAGCAGAATGTATGGTATGCTATATTTTGTTTTAAAAATGAGGGAAGAATATGTCCTTGAATTGCGTGTATGCACAAAATTCTCCTGGAAGAACACACAAAAACTAAGAAAAAAATGTTTGTGAAGAGGGGAAACAGGAACAGGGGAAGAATTCGCTTCACATATTCCCTGTTTTTTATTTAAGAGCTATAGAAACACATGTCTGTTCACATAGATGACTAGGAAATATTTTTTTTAATAAAAATAAGCTGTTTCAGCAACAACAAAATAGTGACTATGGGGGATTTTTACTTATTGAGCATCTGATAGTGGCCAATTATTTAGATGCACTGTATTAGTTTCCTGGGGCTGCCGTAACAAATTACCACAAACTATGTGGTTTATAAAAACAGGTTTATTCTCCCACAGTTCTGGGGGCCAGACACGGGAAATCCAAGTACCGGCAGGGCCATGCTCTGTCTGAAGACTAGCGGGGGACCCTTTCTCGTGCCTGCCCGACCTCTGGTGGTGGTCGGCCCCCCTGGGACCCCTGGGCTCTCCTAAGGCTCACCACTGCATCACTGCAGTCTCTGCCTCTGCTTCCACACAGCCTTCTCCCTGCGTGTCTGTATCTCCTGGTCCAATTTCCCCTTTGATAAAGACATTAGTCGTATTGGATTTAGGACCTATCCTAATGGCTTCATCTTGACTTGATAATATCAGCAAAGACCCTATTTCTGAATAAAGTCACATTCACAGGTTCTAGATGGACATGAATTTGGGGGACACTATTAAACTTAGCACATGCTGGTAGCTGAGTCTGTTCATGCAATAACCTTCTTTCTTGGCCCATCATAAGGATCTCCTGTCTTTCTCTCTCCCAGGAAGGTTTGGGTAGAGAAGCACCTAACAAAACCACCTAAATGACCTAACACAAGAGTTAATACATCCATTCTTGCTTTTAATGGAATCTTTCCAATTCCAAGCCTGTAACAATGTTGGTCACCAGTTTCAAATATTTCTACTTCAAGCAATACCCACCGGGATTTTTTAATGGCAATGTTAAACTAGGGGGCTTATGGAGAATAATCAGGGGCAAACAATTGTTGAGTATTAACTAGGTTGCTAAATTAAGTATAAGGTGCTAACTACAGATACAGGTATGAATGAGGGTCATGTGCCTACTTTACCTCCCTAAGAAATAAATAATATTCCTCTGGTGGGGACAGCAGGTTAGTTTTGCAGTCCTGATTTTGTGATCTATGGCTTACAGTGCAATGTCATATTTTTGGCTGTACCGAGGAGTTAGCAGGCTCACTCCCCATTTTATTTAACATCCAGTTGTTCCGTGACTGGGCTCTGTGGCTGTTGCCAAAGATGCTCATGGGCTCACTTCCTCCTTATCCACCTCTTTTGCTTCCTTCTATCCCCTGTAGCCTCTGCAGGGCGGTCCTTTATAAGCCCTGCATGGCACTGTGTTCTCAATTCTGTTGCGAGGAAGAAAGACAAAGAAAAGAGTATCCAGAACCCAGCATGTGGAGTCAGACCAGCTGGCTCAGATCTTGCACGTGTTACTTACCAGCAGAGGAGATTCACACAAGTTACTGGATTTCCCTGAGTCTCGGTTTCCCCATCAGGCAAGGAAGGCCTCTCTGAAGAGGTGACATAAATCTGAGACCCAAATGACATGGATATATATAAGAACAGTGTTCAGCGCCGAGGATCAGAAAATACAAAGGTCTTGAGATGGAAACAAAAATCAACCAATGTGGGGAAGACAGAGAAGGCCAGGGTGTCTGCAGCGTGGCACTCCATTTATATGTGTATTGGTGGGTGGGGTAGGGGCAGGGGATGCCAGTCGAGGTCAGAACAGTGAGGTACAGCCACATTAAGAAAGCTTGGAGGATTTTTATCCTTATGTATAATGAGAAGCCATTGGATAGTTTTAACAAAGGAATGGATATTATCTGACTTATATTTTTTCTAAAGTCTTCTTGCTGCTTGGACTGGAGCTAGAGTGAAAGCCAGGGGCCCAGGAAAGAGGCCAGGACGGGCATCCAGGCAAGAGGCGGTGGGAGCTCCGACCAGGGCAGCCGCCGTGGGATGAGCCGGGTGGATGGCTGGGAGACGATCGTGGAGGTGCAGCTGGCAGCACGTGCTGGTGGAGTTGGATGTGGCAATAATGGAAAGACATGTATCAAGGATTATTTCTACATATTTTTTTCATTTTGTAGTGGGGGATCAAAAGTTCTGTTCTGGGCTTTTTGGTTTGAGAAGCCTAGAAGACGTTAAGTAGAGATGCCAAGTGGAAAGTTGCCTATGTGAAGCTAGAGCTCAAGAAAGAAGTCAGGGAGGAAGATAAATTTGGAAGCCATCAGCACACAGATGGTCTTTAAAGTCCCGGGACCGTACCAACTCACCTGAGGAAAAAATGTAAACAGACAGACAGGACGAAGGCCACAGACGAGGGGTTCTCCAGCAAGTGATCTGGTGAAAACAGAGACGGCAATCTGGGCGAGGAGGAAAATCAGGACAATGAAACAACACAGGAGCTGAAGAAGAAGGAAGTAGTCACGGGAATCAGACGCTTCCAAGAGAATGCATGAGGGAACTGAGGTAGCTTTCCTGGACCTTCACAAGATGGCAGTCGTTGGTGACCTTGACATGAGCCGGTTCCCTGCTGCCTTGGGGACAGTATGAAAAGAGGGTGGGTGAGGAGTGAGTGTGCATGCAAAGTGCTGCCCTCGGCACAGACCTGGCACATAGGAGCTCCGGTAAATGCTCTCGCGTATCATTATCCACCATAAGGCACCTCTAATTTGCAGCTCCATGTGACCCCAAGGCTGTCAATTGCTGCAGGTAGAAACAATAAAGTCAGCATGCACTCCAAAATGCTACTCCACCCAGGGTGCCAGTGCAGGAACCGGACCAGGACAAAGTAACTATTTTTTAACACATAATAAATGTAAATTTCAATTTTGCAATCATAAAAAAATGTTTGGTCAAAGCTACAAAAAAACTCATGATGTTAAACAAAGGCTACAGAAGCGTGAGCCCTGCTGGACCTACTGGGTCCTGAAGCCTGGCTGGGAGGAAGTAGGGGATGAGAGGGGGCCATTCTGCTCTTCACATAAATTCAGGGACTCACCTGCTAGAACCTCCTCCCTGGATGAAGGAGTTGTTCTGTGGACCAGTATTCTTTCACATCACATGCCCAGGGGTGTCTCAGCACTTCAAAGATGTCATCAGAAATGAGAGATGCTGGATACATGATTTAATTGGAAGGTCATGCTTGGTGACTTCTCCTGCAGACTGTAACAGCAGGGTACCAGCTCATTTTGTAAACAGGAGGAGGGGAGAACCCTCTTCCAGCTGTCATTATATTCAAAAACTATGTGGGTTCAGCAGAAAACCAGAGGAACAAGCACAGGGCCATGACCTCCATGATGCAGCAGCCACCAGCCCATCAGATACTCCCCCTGCATGATGTGCCCTGTGGGCTCTTATTCTGCTGTGTTGGGGAACATGCAACATGCCAGCCCGGCCCAGCACCCCTGTCTCCCATAGCTCCATACAGACCCTTCACCCTGTACGCTTGCTGGTGTGTTGATCTGTCTGATAAAGAATGAATCATGTAGAAAACTGGAAGTGTACCTCTTTTCATTCCCTCTCCAAGAACTTAAGATGTGGAAGAGATGGGTTTATTGAATCAAAGGCTCAGATACTGCCCTTCACTCATTCATTCATCAAAAAAAATTGAGCCCTTTTATGTGCCAGGAGCTGTACTGGTCAGTAATGCACAAAACATCAACAGACAAGACAAACTTTTAAGGCCCCTTGTAATGCCCATTTTCTGGCAGAAACAGACAATAAGCTAACAAAGGAATGAGTCTATGATACTGATTTTAAATACTACTAAACACTACCAGGAATAATAGGGCAGGTGAAGGGATAGAGGGGGCAGGAGGAGGGCAGGGGACAATTACAGGTATGGTTGACAGAGAGGTCCTGCCCATGGAGGTGCCAGTTTAGCCCTGTCCTGAGGGAGCAAGCCTGCTGATGATCTGGGCACAGAGCAAGGATTCAAGGGAAGGTGCTACAAGGATAGGAGCTCTGGGGCAGGCACGGGCTTGGCGTGTTTCAGAAATTGCAAGACCAATGAGGTTGGAGTAAAATGAGAGAGAAGGAGTATGGAGGAATTCAGGATCATAAAGTTATACAGACATGTAGAGACTTATGGGCCATGATCAAAAAAATGGGGGGTACTTTTTCTAAATGTGTTGAGAAGCTTTAGGGGTTTCAGAGCAGAGAATGATACAATCTGATTTGTATCTTAAAATATCACTGATTATTCTGTGACGTAGGAGGAACTGGGAGAACATCAGCAGTAAGAGATGACGGCGCATTTGACAGGGTGACGGCGATGGAGGTTGTCGCTTCCTAGTATAAATAAATCTTCCCTGGGAAGGATCCCGGATTCTCACCCTTTGAAATGTGCATAAATTACCCTAAGAGGAAGAGATGATTAGTGTCTCCAGATTTAGAACACAGGAACATGCAGTGGCCCTGGGTCGCACCCTCCCCCTTGAAATGCAAGCCCACCCTTCCAGAGGGGCCATCTCTCTGGAAGTCTCTCACTCTCTGACCACACTTGTAGCCCATGTCCCAAGTTTTGAGGAGGCTTTGAGTGGAACTCCACAGTTCCCCAGATAATAAGAATGAAGTGAGTTTCCAAACCTTCAGAGAACAGGAAGTGACCAGAAGACAGGCAGAGGACAGTGACAAATGAATATGGCGTGATGCCTAATTATAGGTACTGACTTGCCTGGGCCACAGAGCACCCAGATATTTGGTCCAACATTCTCTGGGTGTTTCTGTGAAGGTGTTCCTAGATGAAAGCAATGTTTGAATCTGCACACTTAGTGAAGCAAATTGCCCTTCCCAGTGTGGGTGGGCCTCCTCCAACCCACCGAAGGCAAAGAACATTGACCAAAAGGCAGAGAAGGAGAGAAGCCTTCCCTTCCGCCTCTCCGTGTTTGAGCTGCAACATCGGTCCCCTCCCACCTTCAGACTCGGATTCAGACGGGACCTCCCACAGATTGGCTCCCTGGTTGTCAGGCCTTTGAATTCACACTGAAACTGTACCCGCAGCCCTCCTGGGTCCCCAGTTTGCCAACTGCCCATCTTAGACTTCTCAGCCTCATTAGTCATGTAAGCCAATTGCTTATAGTAAATACAAAAATATAAAATATATAAGACACATACATAATATATAGGGTACAGGAAACCGGTCCTGTTGTCTGGAGACTCCAGATGAATACATATGGGAATGGCACTTACCTCGAAAGGCCAGAATGTTTGAGGAAGGCAGGAAGAAATGGTCAGAAAGACACGATGAGAAACGAAAAAGACTCCTATCCCACCTCCCAGGCCTGTGCTCCATGGGGACCGGGAAGAAGAAACAGCCCCCACACAGGAGGGCTCAGCATCCTCCGGGAAGAGTGGATCTCATTCTGAGGGAGATTTCTGCAAAAAGATTGAAGGTACAGGGGATTGTGCTGATCACAGATGGCTGCAGAGGACACAGTGGGAGGTTCTGAATAGTAAGGAAGGCTTGGGAATTGAATTCCATTAGGAGATATAAAGCACCTTAAAGGGCACAAATCAAGGTGGGAAACAGCCATCTCAAAGGCATGGTGCTCTGGGGTGGAGACTGAGATGTACATGCGGAGTGACGAGATTACTCCCCAGGGTCTTCTAGAAACAAGTGGGTAAGCACTCTGATAACATCCTGAGGCAAGGAAGCTGGGGGAGGGGAGGCCTTGCAGGGAGCACTATGCCCTATGCACCCCCCACCCTTAAATGCCGCAGTGTGACAATGTGCCAGAGAGAGGCACTCCCACCTGCAGGCATCACTGGTGCTGCACCTGGACAGGGCTGAGGCGACTCTCACCAGGAGATTCGTTTCTACATAGACTCTGCTTAGGACACTCGCTGCTCCCTTTCACTACAAAGAGAATGGGCCAAGAAAATCGGCACTTTGGTTACAAATGGAAGACTGCTCACAGCCAAAGTTCTCTGAAGAGAATCTGGTCTTTCAGAACCTCTCCCCCAGAAGATCCTCAGGAAGCCATCACCCACACATTACGGAAGACCCAGTCTAGGGGCAGGTCCTGCATAACATCTCGAGCATCTCCATTCTGGGTTCCACCTGCTCCTCACTGAACCTGTTCCTCCGGAGGCCACCATCTGCTGCTTGAGCTTCTCCCGGGCTATGCTTTGCTCCCCGGCGATGTCCCTGCCTCTTCCAGTGGCTCCTCTCCCCCGGGATCCCTCACCTCCTCACTCAGGGAATCACTACAAAACCCGCCACTTCACAGTATCCGTCCAACCTTTCCCGGGCTCCTTCGCATCACTCACCATGTCTATTCTTTCATTCGTTCTACATTATTAAGAACCCACCTTCCAATAATACTCTTTCTAAAGAAGGTGTTCTTCTCTGGGAAATGTACTTGATGTCCTTTCGGGCACAGTCCCATCTCCAAGTCACCTTTGGGGTCCAGTCTAGCCATCCTCTTGTCATTATCTCTTCCTTAAATGCAAGAAGTCCTTGAAATCCATTTCTTCCAAAGAACTCACTGCTACATGAAAACAATAGCAAAATCTCCCAGCCCACCCTCTCCTAAGTAAGCATGAAATCTCATAACTGTGCTTATTGTCTTCCTACTTGGTAATGAGGCTAATAGCTCACTTTTTAGAACATTCATTTAAATGTGTTCATGGTTGACTCTTCATTATTTAGTCTCTCACCTCAGCAGTGTGGTATATATCTTAAGCTTTTAAGAAGGTGTAAATCACAGCTTTATATCATGTAGTGTCACATTCAGACAGATGTTATTACTTTTATCTAAATTATGAAGTAAAAAGTCAGGGATATGCTTCTGTTATCCTAAAACATGGTCAACAATAACCAATACTCCATAATTTGCCCTTGATCTTTGAAGGTCGGAGCTGTGCATTTTCCAGAAAACAGAGACAAATTTTGCATTTTGCAGGCTGTTATTGCACTTGCCCACATTTGCCCTGAAAAGATAAATGAAATGTAAAGCATATCACATTCATTAATTTTTAAGCATAGTTACTGCTATAGGTCTTTAAGAGAACCACTTGCATATCAGTTGGCAATGGAAGAATGCTCATCAATACCCCCAGGCTTCTTCATTAATTGGTTTCCTTATAATTCTCCTAATCAAAGAGCAGCTGCAAGTTCTGCTTGATTTCTCAGCAGTTTGCCAATATATCAGAGAGACTTAGAGTATTCAACCCTGGGTACCAGAAGCTGTGTTTACCAAATCTGAGATTCTTCAAGCCCTCCTCTTCTACTCTTGTCCTGATCTTTACTTGTCTGATTGTGGAGTCAAATAGGAAAAGGGAGATGGAGCTCCATAAGGTAGATGTGTCTGCTGCCCAGGGTACCATCTCCTTGACCCACTATCCACAGATGGGGTGAAGGTTTCACGCTGAGCTCAGACTCACCTTGCACCTCGCAGCATCCAGCCTCAGGCAGCCACTGTGTGTCCTCCCCATTTGTGCCCCAGGGGCTCCTCGGTACTGGGGAGAGAAGAGGAAGCTAATGTCCCCAGTCAATGGGAAAGGGGCTGGTGATAAGCCTTGCAGCCTGCCGTCCTTCAGGAGGTGCCCCAGCCTTGCGCCATCACTGTCACAGCAGCAGCACTTACTGGCTTCATCCAGTGTACCGATGACTTCCATACCCATCCACTGGCTTCTCCTCCCCTGCCTCATGCTCCCCGCCCTGGACTCCTACTTCCTGGAATCACCTTTCTGGCAGGAAGAAAACCTGAGCTAAAACCCTCCTCTCCAGCTGCTTTGCTACATGCATATTTTAGGAAATTGGGTGAGGAAGTAACAGAATTTGGGGGCCAATTTTAATGTTAAGTGATCATTTTGCATCATCTGAAAATTTTCCTAATTCCTCAAAAAGCCCTGTATATTGATCTGTATATGGGCCGCAATATAGACAATCTTTGAAGAAATAGAAAGTAGATAGACCTCAGGAGCAAAGCTGTTTCTCTCTTTCAGACAACATGAGCTCATGTGAGGCCCCAAAGGCAAGCCCACGGGAATCCCACACAAGCAGCTGTCACACATAAAGCTGCACTTCGACAAAACCAATGCCCTGAAAAGTCTATGCAGAGAAGAATCTTGGAAAATCAGTAAATGTTTATTGACTGAGTCTTGGGCTTTGATTGAAGAGAGGAAAAGTTCCAGAGCAAATGGGCCCTCCCGCAGCGCAATGCTTCTGCAGGCGGAAAGAGGCTGTGTCCTGGCGAGAACCAAGGGCTTATCTTACATCACCCAACAATAGTAAATCTCTCCTCTTCTCCTCATGTTTAATTTCTATATAACTTTCATTCACAGTATGTGCTGACTCACATAACAGAAAAATGCTTTATTGAAGTTTCCCTACTTTTTAAACTAACAGATTATGTCATAGCAGTAAGTATTTAAATAACACTTGTGTGTGCATTAAGATACATAAAAACATACTTTGGGAAATGTCCCTATTAAAATATTTATAGGACTGAGGCAGGAATTTCTATACCTCTAGGATGTTTTTGGCCTTTGAGGTTGGGTCTGCAGGTTTGGGGTTTGGTCACATGGCCCTTTGATCCTGTGTGTGTCTTCTGGTACCCAAAAGGGATGCTCTAAAAAAAGGAAAGAAAGAAATGCCAGAATTAGAGTACTGCTTTGTTACTGATAAGCCTAAAAACATAAAATTCATAATTTCAAATTATGAGATACCACAGCTAGGATATGACATGTATCTTCATATATTATTTAAATAACGGTGTGCATTTGAATAGGTTATGTTGACAGATGACAGAAAAGTGGATTCAGAATAAAGGAGTTTATGTAAACAGCCAGAAAAAAGACAGATGACTTTTAATACAGGCGAGGGCATTTATAGATAATTAATGCACATGTATAAAAGGGGTTATAATAGTCTGCTCAGACTGCCGTACGAAACACCATAGATTGGGTAGCTTAAACCACAGAAATTTATTTTCTCAGTCTGGAGGCTGGAAGTCCACTATCAGAATGTTGTGGAATTCGATTCCTGGTGAGCTCTTCCCGGCTCGCAGAAGGCCACCTTCCTGCAGGGTGCTCACATGGCCTGCTTTCTGTGGGCTCGTGCCTGGAGAGAGATGGGGGCACAGCGCTTCACGTTTCCTCCTGCTCTTAGAAAACACCAATCCCATAGGATTGGGGACCTACCCTATGACCTCACTTAACCCTAATTTCCTCCTGATGACCCATTTCCAAATACCATTGTCTGGGAGTTGGAGCTTCAATACATCAATCTGGGGTGGGCACAGTTTGACCCCATGACAGTGGTCACACTGTTCTATGTGATCTATCCTAAGAGATATTCCAAGCTATAGAAAAACATACACCTAAAGATTTTTCCTTGCAAAAAAAAAAAAAAAGAAACTAACCTAAAATGTGCAGCAACATGAAAGGACGTGAAAGTGGCAGACCCACTCAAAGAAACTGTGCAGCAGTGTGGAATGCACCTAGAGTGCACTACGGGCAATTTCGGAATGGGTGGGCTCTAGGACTGAGCTGGATGTGAGTTGTTTTAGTTATTGTTACCACTCTGGTCTGAAAAGTTTCCCCCTAAAACTCCACCTGTTAAAGCCCTAAACCCCCAGGGCCTTGGAATGTGACTGTATTTGCAGATAGAGCCTTTAAAGAGGTAAGTTTAAATGAAGTCATAATTGTGGACTCTAATCCAATCTGACCAGTGTCCCTGTAAGAAAAGGAAGAGGCAATAATTTCTTCTATTATAGCAGTAAGTACCTGCCACACCCAGAGGAAGGACCACACGAGGACACAGGGAGAAACAGGGTGTACAGGCCAAGGAGAGAGGCCTCGGGAAAAACCAGCCCTGCTGACACCTTGATCTTGGACTTCCAGCCTCCAGGGCTGAGAGAGAGTAAGCGTCTGCTGTAAGCCCCCCAGTCTGTGGTGCTTTGTGACCGCAGCGCGAACAGACCAGTCCAGGTACCTCCGAGGAACCAGAGGCTGGGCCTGCTGCTCGGGGTGGGTGTGGAGTGTGGAAAGGTTTCTCTCTTGCTCATGCCCACCCTCCACTTTCACCCAGCCCCGAATGCCTGCCTCTCTGAGCTTCTCTGAGCTCTTGCTCTTCCCCTGCAGGTAGGACGGGGGGCCCATGGCCTTCTCCACCTCTCCCAGATAGGGGTTTTGTCTCCCCTCCTTCCCTCAGCAACAATGGCTCTGCACCTGCACCTTGGGGGCCACGTGTCTCTCTGTCTCCCTCCCCACTGTTGCTGTGAGTGGAGGTTCAGACATTAGGGTGGGATCTCTGCTTCTCCCCCTGCTTCCCACCAGCCCTGTAATGGGACCAAACAGGCCTGCACCACTGACAGGCTCCTTCCAGCCTCCCACCCTGCCTTCTAGAGAGTTCCTGGTGGAGGCCCACCGAAAAGTCTGAGTGGGTATGACTCCCCCTCATGTCCGGAGCTCCTGGGGTCTCTCTGCCGCCATGCCAGTCCACACTGGGCCCATAGCAATTAGTTCAAATTTTAGCCAACTTCTTTGAGACACTTTTCTGGCAGAGGTGACTTCCCCCTGTGTCTGTCAGTGTTCATCCTGCCTTTCCTGGGGGAGGAACGCTGCCTCCTTGGTCATCAGGCTGCTCATTTGCGCTGGGATCTCAGCTCTCTGACTCTGATGAGCTCAGGAACAGCTATGAGTCTGTGGTTTATCTGACTTTTACTCGTTAGAGTCTGAGGGATACTTTCCAGCTTTCTACTTTCTAGGCAGAATTAGAACCCATATCCAATGTTAAGTGGCCAGTCTGTTGCCTGTAAAGGCTGAACTGAGCACCAGCAGAAACTTGTTTTGCAAACCAGACCACAGCAAGCACAGCATGAACCTCAGAAGTCACTGTTAATTCTCTGTCACTCAGCACTCTCAAGGAATACATAAGCATCCAGTTAGGAGGAACAGCAGATGGAAAGAGAAGAAATCGGTACCTAAACATGTTATTTTGGGGGAGTCCTCTCTTTCCCCTTTGCCAAACCTTCTTCAGAAGTCAAGCATGGCACAGGGGGATGGGGGAAAGGCAGAGGTATTTTAAGGCTGAAAGGACACTCACAGGTCTCTTTCCCTTTCAAAGACAACACCATTTTGAACAACTCTTCTGCAATGTCCATTGTGCTAGTCCGAAATCAAATTCACAATAACATAACTTACCTAGATACCTAAATTTCAAGATACAAAGACTCCAACAGACTGCCCTGCATATGACAGAAAGGAGATACACAAGGGAAGTTGTCTATAAGACCACAAATGCCATGCCCAGCAGAACTCCCCCAGAAGACCCATGAAGGAGTTGGTCAGAATATCACAGCCATAGATCTAGAAGGACCCTGAGTGTCATATTAGAACACAAATACCACAAGTGACACAGCTATTGGTGAAGCAGTTTTCCAAAACAGCACACAACTTTTGACAAAGCCCTCAGAAAACCACTCCAACCTTCCTCTGATTTTCAAGGCTGATGGATTTATGGACAACCTGGTATATCTGACATGCACGATAAACCTGTTTATGATCTTACCTATTGAGAAATATTTACAGTGGAAAATACCAGACAAACAGACATAACACTTACATGAACGTCTGATGGGACATTGGAAAGTTTTGCCAACTTTTCCCAAGTGGGGTAGGACATCTGGGAACCTGCCCTCAGCTGAAACTCACCAGCACCAGTCAATCATTAGGAAACTCAAGCACCCTCACCACACACACAGGGAGGAGAGCCGCCCCTTTCAGCAGGCAGGACCCGGCCCAGGCACGTGCCCCGAGCCACACGGCATGCTGGCCACGCTCCAGCCACTTGCCACCAGGCCTGTCCTTTGCACCGTGCTTCTGAGGCCTCCAGACTCCAGAAAAGGAAAATCCAACTCTACAATGACTCCCGACTGGGAGGCTCATGGTGATCACCTTAAAGGTGTGTCTTTGAGCACAGGTGGCTGCTTGTCCCCACCTTGGCTTGAGATGCTGTGGTGCACGTGGCTGAAAGTGGCCACTAACACGCTTTGGTCCATGTGCCTGGACAGCCTAGGGCTGAAAACAATGCCGACGACTGCCTAACAGCAGCCCGATTTCCATATCCCCTCACTGCTTTGGGGATAAATCCATGCTACGTGTATTTATTGGCCATGAGGAACATGCCTGCCCTGGTGGGGTAGAGCCAGGGCCCAGGGGGAATGAGGCAGACATGGGGCCTGCCCACTTCACAGTTTAACGGGAGAGGAGGCAGTCAGTAATTAGTGCCACACACATCACATCATTAGTCAGCATGATGAAGGAAGAGTCTGAAATGACGTGTGAATATGGTTGAGGCATTAATCCAACAGGGAATATGTTAACGTCCCATCAGGGAAGCAAAATAGTCTGAGTGATAGAGAGTAAGGGACTCATCGCAGGATTTCCACCACACACCATCACAGGAGATACTGGGGAGGCAAAGGCCCAGCAGGGGAAAGAGAGGGGATGAGAAAACAGTCCCTCACCAGGAGAAAGGAGGCTCATGGGAAGTCGCCAGCCAGCTGCCACCCTGCACCCGGGATGGTCTGCAGTGACCACCGCCAGCAAGGACTTTGGACGTGACATGCTCATCAGCAGTGATCAGATGTGGGCCTGGGACCCTTGCCTTTCTCTCAGCTCACCCAACTCCAGTGACACGGGCGACTGTAGAAGCTGGTGGCCTTCCCCACAGGGCTGGAGGTCCAAGGGCAGATGGCCCCCCAGCGCACAAAGAAGACAGAGCACCAGCATTGTCAAAAAGACCTGGGGTCAGACGACATGCGTGTCACTCTGTGGCCCCATAACATGTCCTCCCTTTGCCCCTTGGTACACTGGACACAGCAGAGCACCAGAGAACCAAGTGAGGATTCGCTGGCATAACCCCTGAAAGTGTCAGATCGTGGAGACAAGGCTGCGCCCTTTCTGCAGGGGGCCAGATAGTAAACACGAAAGGTTTGTGGGCCACAGGGCCTCTGCACAGCTGCTCAGCTCTGCCACTGTGGTGTGAACATAGCCAAAGACAGCAAGTAAATACTGGCTGGGATCCAATAAAACTCATGGACACTGAAATTCGAATTTCATGTGTTTCTCATTTCATGAAATGTTAATCTTCTTTTGACTACTTTTTGACCACTTAAAAATGTCAAACCCATTCTTAGTTTGCAGGCCACATAAATACGAGTAGCAGGCTGAATCTGACTCACGGGCTACAGCTTGCTGCCCCTGCAGTAGACATGAGAAGATGTTTGCCCCATTCCCCCACTCCTTAGGCACACGGGCACACACTAATACATGCAGACATACACAGAAGCACATGCACACGCACACGTACATGTCACCACAGGGAAAAGGCAGAGGGGGGCACGTTGTTCATCACCAGCTACCACCACTATACAACCCTCCAGGCTGACTGTATTTCACCTAGTCCAGGCCATTTGCACTTTCTGTGGAAAAAAACTACATCACTGTAATTTTTTAAATTAGTTCTTGACATTGACAGTAATTCACTATCACTTGAACTACCTCAGGCTTTATTAGCCATGAAATTGAAACACAATATTACCAATTGTTCCCAAATTAAATCACCTTATGAAATATCATACATCCTTAAGGTTTCTGAAAAGAAATGAAATCAATATATTCTGGGCTGCATTTCCCGCCTAGTCTTTACTGGAATCATAAATTTTCTGCTCTCTCAACCCAGCATCATCGTGAAGCTGGGCATGAATCCCTCTGTCTGAAGTCGCTGGTTGGGCAACAATTCTCGCAAATCTTCCACCAGACCACAGGTTCAGAATCTCATTGTGTTTTTAGAAATAACATGTCTTATCCAACAAAAGAAGGAAGATAATTGTGGGGTTGCTTTCAGCTCAGGACCCAGGCTGCTGCCTGCAACTCTGAATTTTGTCCAGGTCCCGGCTGGGGGGTTTGAGCGTCTGTTTCACAAATGTGGGAGAGTGAGTCTCACCCAAAGCCATGGCTCATGCGTGATTTACACGCTGAGCTAAGTGAGAATTAAATATTTATCATCTGCAGATGAAAGCTGCTCCCTTCTAATGCTGCAGGAACGAGTGATGCCTGCATGTAGACAGCATGTCAGTCCCAACAGCCGGGCCATGGCAGAGGAAGACAGGGCACAGGTGCGTGTGTGCATGTGTGCAAACACCTCTAGGGACTTCAGGGGTCCACCGTTCATGATGTACCACCAAAGACCTGACCTCCTCAAGTTCGATGCAGCCAAAGTCCTCTGCTACAAGTGGGTTCCTCTTGGTAAATGGATTCATCCTTAAGGCAAGGAAAAAGTGGAGTCCCCAGGCAAGAGGTCTTTCCCCATGACTTTACAAACACATTCTCCATTGCCTAATTTCTGTTTCCTAAATGTTGCCAGATCCTCCTGGCTGGATGTCTTCTGCCCACCCCTCCACACCCCTTTCCACCCTGCTCCATCCCAGGTGGATGATAATGGACTCCCTGGACCCCTGGCTCCCATCAGGCTTGGTCAGTAGGAGGCCTGAGCAGGGGAGTGGGGAATGGAGCCTGCCACCTGACTCCCTCGCCACCCGGCCTCTGTGGCTTGACCATGCTCCTCCTAAGGCCCAGCAGCTGCCAGGGCCCCTCCATCCAGGTGACCCACCTCTCCCTGCCCCTTCAGTGCTATGGATGGTAACAGCCCCTCAGGCCCACAGGTCCTGCCCAGGCCTGTGAGACCACCATCGACCCCCTTCTACCCTCCCCTCAGACCCTCCTTTCTGATAGCCTCTCACCTAATTCTCTCGTCAATGCCAAGTGCTCAGCTGTTCTACAGAGAGGACTATACTCCCTCTTTACACAGGATGGAGAGTTCTTCCTCAGTGACATCAACAGCACTCAAGTGGCAGGGTTCAGGTGTTGACACCGCATCTCCTGTATACTTGGCTGCATCCATTCACCTTTTAGGTTACAAACTCCCAGGAACTGGCTCCTCAACTTCAGCATCCCTAACAGTTTTCCAAGGTCAGGGCTGCACAGAGCAAAGAAAATGCTTCTATTCAAGCTAATTATCTTCATGCTATGAAGTTCTAAACTATGGAAGATCTTCGACAGGCATAGAATCTGGCAGTGTAACCAAATTCAAGGACATTGGGAAAGATGGGCAGGTGTGGTTTCACTGGTTAGGATTTCATGACACAACTGTTTGGAAAATAGTTGTTTAACTAAATCTGCAGCCTCTTCAAGCATTCATTAGCAGAGCGCCATTTCTCTCCTCCAAAGAACACCATTGGCCTTGGTGTCTGCTGTGGTTGACTCTCACCGCCTCCCCCCGAGGCTGCTTCAGCTCTCTGCCCTGCAGAAGTGAGAGGCCACATCAGCAGAACACCATTTCAGCTGAGGGCTGCCTTGGGGTTTTCAGGATTCCTAAACAGAAACTGGCAAGTACACAGACATAACACTGAGAGAGAACACAGATGGCGTGTTTGTGTAAAAGAGCCCTCGGTGACACATGAAGGTCATTTCCAGGATGCCATCTCCAGGTCATCCCTGACCCAAAGACCTTTATGCAGCAATGAAATCTGCCATCTGCACTCTCCAGTAAGTAGCCACTAGTCACATGTTGCTAGTCAGCATTTGACATGTGGCCAGTGGGACTAAGGAAAGGAATCTTATATTTTATTTAATTTCAAATAATTTAGCTGTACATGGCCACATGTGGCTGTGATGGGGAACAGCATAGCTCTAGACAGTTCTGTTCAAATAACTTATTCACTTCCTTTGAAATAAAAACTGGCCGGGGATCCCTCTGGGAAACCTAACCCCTGGAATAAGCTACTTTGAGAACCTGTTCATTAGTGACATAGGAAAACTGCACAGAATCTGATCAATGAAAAAATCTTTTGAGAATGATTTGACAAGCACATGCTAAGTTGGAGACATTTCTACGGAAATCATTTGGCATTGTTCTCCAGAGTTCAAAACGTAAAGTTCCATTATAGTCTACGTGCAACCCCCAACTCCTAAAATAATAACAGAAATATGATTTTTATAGCAGGAAGATGGCAAATAATCATTATGTTTTGATGTTCTGTCTTTCTCAATACTGACCTGTTTGATACCAATAATTTAGTAAATGCCCACAGGATGCTAGGTTCTGTAAAGGTTGCAAAAGGCATCAGTGACGTGTCATTTGCCGTGTCTCAGGGCCTGGGGCCTGTGGTCATTTGCAGAGAGTAAACCAGCAAGAGAAGAATATGGAGCTCACTCACTCAACAGCTCAGGAACCTTGTCTTTCTCCTTGACTTGCATTGTTCAAGGATGGTAATGGGACATAGAATCACACTGGCAAGGAGTAGAGAAGTTATGATAATAAACAAGTCTCATTATTAAGCACTGAGTTCACAATTTTTTTTCATAAGAAGGACTCAGAAAAGTGATAGAGCAATATTCCTGGGGTTTTTTAATTTCACCTTGTAGTTCTACTCTAAAGAAAATAGGCAGCCGATTCCTTCTCTTTAGAGACACAGTCCTAGAAAAGATTACATTTTTTTCCAGGATCTTCCAAGCATTGGTGAAATTCAAACTATTTGAGAGTAAGGCCTGAACACCAACCAATCAGAATAGATGTTGTGTGGACACCACCCAATTGGAATATTGTATGCACACCAACCTATCAGAACAGATGTTGTGTGGACACCTACCCATCAGAAGGAACACTTGCCACAGCCCCTCATGTGCTGGCTAATACCCCTGAGTCAGCTGCTAACTCATAGAAGGGGGTCCAGGGGAGAGGCTAAATGTGATTTAAGATCATAAAAATATCTTATAAACCATGGTAAGATAAAATTTGTCCACATGGATTGGATTTGCAAGCAGGAATGTTGTGTGATGAAGAACATCACCACGATGAATTTATGTCTTTTTACTTAGTAACTTTAAGGAATTCACCGAACTCTTACACTTGAAAAGCCAAATTCTAATCTACCAATAGCATGGTTGAGCAGGGGGGCTCAGAGCAGTTGCTAATTACTAACCATCATAGAAACCTGTACCAACAAGGGCAGCATCCTGTACTAAGACTGGTTAATTCTGGGTTAAATATGAAGAGATGGGGTGGCTGGTGAAATACATTCACTGAGAATATCTACATGAGAAAAGAAGAATATTTGGAATAGGCAGCAATTTCATTCTTAATAACAACATTCATATCAACTTTAAATGGGGCAAATGTACAACAGTTAAAGACTAACATGAAGATGTGATTTTTTTTACAGATTCCTCCTGATTTGCTTTTTAGAAAATGCCTAATTCCTAAACACTAAGATTCCTTAAACTACCACCGAAGTAATAAAGAATTAAGAAAGGCAATACAAGTTTCTTGGTGTTTCCTCTCTCATTTATTAAAGAACATGCTATACCCATTTCCAGGCTTTTCACAGCGTCTGTGCTCTGTGGGGCTCATCCCCAGCAGAGCGTAATCCTCACCTCACTCACGTGAGGGCACAGAGCAAGCCTGCTAAGGGAGCAGATGGAAGACAACGTCTTCGTGTGAATATCCAGTCAGGAGATATTTCACAATGTGCATGTCAGCTTTAGAACTTAACCTTATTTTTAACCTATGAGCTCTGACTTTCCAGACAATTTTACATTTCTCATTGATCCTCACTGTTATGCTCTTTCGGCACTGGTAATATACACTAATGCCTCCCATACATAAATACCATCTTCATGTGATTTAAGATAATAAAAACATTTTTAAAGTCATGGTAGGATGTTGATATTTATTGGATTAGCCAAGAGTGTCAAGTAACAAACAATTGCCATGTTGAGATTGCAGCTTTTATTCAGGAACTTTGTAGAATTCACTGAAATCCGGAAACATGTGAAGAAACAAAGTCTACTTTGGAAGCTGGGAAATCGATTCCCCATCTCACCATAAACTATCTGTTCCGGTGACCCCAGTGTGGCTACTTCCAGGTGATGCTGGCAGAGCTGGGGTCCAGCCTTAGACGGAGAGGAAGATGAGGCCATCGAGATGCAAGTCATCTTCACTATACTAAAGTCACATTCCTGACCTTCCTAGGACTGGCCACATTGAAGGAAACCTGCGGGCGACTTGCTGGGCCTGGCTGGTGGTCATCAGGTGTCTGGAAACAAAGGGAAAAGGGCTGATTTAATCCCTTGAGATCAGTGCAAAAGACACACTGGAGAAGAAAGCTCCATTCATCAGATGATGTGAACTGAGAGCCCAGCGAGGAACAAAAACGGCAACACACGGCCTTCCTTTATTGCATTATTTCCAAAAACATACACTCAAGTTGCCAAAGTTCAGGGCCTAAAGAGCAATCCAACTTGAAGAATCCAATCTTTGCTTGTATGAAGACAATGACCACAAAGATGCACAATTTTGTTTTGTTTCTTTAACTTTCCAATGGCAGTGCCAGCTTTCATATAAAAATGTAACCTACTTCTAACCTTCATTAAATCACACACCTTTCTTCCAAAGAAGAGGGGTAAACATGAGGAAGTGTCTCCACATAGACCACCCATCTGTCCCCTTGGGCATGCACATTGCCGCCCGCCAGGAATGCAGGCAGACACTGCCGCTCCTGTTGGGGAATATAGTCCCCAGCAAACCACTCACTCCTCCAGAGCGGCCAGTGCCCGCCTGAGACTACCACCCTATTACAACAGCTGCAGCGTGTTTTCCTGACTCTCCTGAGACTGCCGCTCAGATTCCAGGGCACTGTAGATGTACTGGACATCTTCAATAATGTAACTGGGCACCGTGCATAACTTACAGCGCAATGGAATGTCAGGGAGTCGTGAGGACAGAGTCACTCTGGCTTATGTCTTAGTTTGTTGACTCCCTGTCACGCAAGACAGGAGGGCCGGGAGCGCTACCTCAGCCATGCACTGAAGAGTCTGTGCCTCTGCTGTGAGAGCTTTCCTCTTGTTCTTTGCTCTTTGTTGTCCCTTCTGGGTCACCCCAAGTGCATTGCTGTTTTCTAAAGTTACAAGAGTTTATTTCTGTTTATCTCAAAAGGGGAGAGATCAATCAGTGGGGAAGACTTGATTCACACTGCAAGCGGTTCATACGCTCACCCTCCAAAATTGACAGACTCAGGAAAGAAAGAGACAGAGTTACCCAAAATAAACCAGCCAAGTTGACTGACAGTGAGTTGAAGCTTGGAAAGAGGAGAGGAAAGGAGGATGTTTTTAAAAATATTCACGGAGATGAAAAACATTTGCAAATCCTCTGGCTTCACAGGAAAATAAGAAGTGCTTGCCTTCCCTCTCACTGTAATTTTTAGTAAGAATATATTTATTAGTCGTCCTAATGTGTTTTGTGAGCAGTTTATACCTCAGTTAGCTGTACTTTACCAACAGAAACTCTTATCTAGAGAATTATGTCAGTATTATATATTCTAACTGTGAATTCATCCCAGTGTGAAATAATCAGTGAAGAGAAGTGTCATGTTTTAGTATATATCAGTTTTGAAAATCAGGTTTTTTTTTCCCTTCTGATCCTTCTTATAATTTAACACATGGTCTGAGGTCTCTATAGCCTAAAATCCTATTTTCTTCATAGTAAATGCAGCGTGCCCACCTAGAACACAGGAAGTTTAAAGTGTTGCCCAACTACAGTGCTGCGTGGGTTGTGGAGTATTTCAGGGTCAAGACTCTGCCATGTGATCTTCATTCTAACACCCCACGAGCAGCTCAGATTCTCCTCTGGGCTCTGTGGCTGGCTGAGCATTGAGGTCAGAAAGTACAGCTCATTCCCCATGCACAGCTGTAAGAAAATCCCCAGAACTCAGAGACGGCGTTCCCTTAGAAGCAATGCTGTATGTGCCCATTGTTTTCACCCCAAACCACAAAACTATTTCCTCAATGCAGATCACCTAGGAACATAGTAAAAAATGCCCACTCTTTGGCCCGGCTTCCCAGAGATCCTGACCCAGAAAGCCTGGAAGAGGCTCAGGACTTTGCATTCGAACAAGCGCCCAAAGTGTTCCTGGTACACCACTCTACTGAGAACTATGCCAAACCAGCAGGGTGCCAGGACGCACATACCCGTCGGG